TACGAGATATATCCGATAATATCTTCACTTTTGTTGTGCATTGTTAACTTCTGGTTCTACAGCAATTTGAAAATCGCGATTTTTAACTTTGAAGAGCTCTGTCACGTGACCTAATAAACATATAACAAAATTTCTTATATATTCTTAGAGTGCATGATCTCTCCTTTTTGGCGATATATCACACTTGATATTTTGATCAAAATGTGCGTAAAATCACGGTGTCTATAATTTACCGACAGTCACCGTTGCCCTAAAAAAAAGTCTCATGATCTAATGATTGTAAAGACTTGAAATTTTGAACATTATTTAACAATGTAGACATCATCACAGACAAATTAAAATTTTTGAAGTGGGCGTGGCACATCCGGTGTGCATTTACCTTTACCTGAAATATTTGCAATTGTCATAACTCGCAAAGTTTGCAATTGTCATCCTAGAAATTTTGCATGAAAGTAGATCACTGTTTAGGACAATTTGTGATAAGATGACAGTTGTTTGCGTTCTTTACTTTAAAAAAGGGAACAGGTTTAACAATTTTAAAAAATTTTATTTTTGAACTTTAACGTAAATGACCTTGACCTTTGCATGGTCAAAGGTCATTGATCTAAGATGACCATTCTTACTTTGATTTTTGATGTGCAACATATACTTCCGGTTTTACAGACGTCCGAAAACAGCAATTTTCGAAACTTCAAAGGCTCATATTACTTTTATTTAACCTTTGTTGACCTTTTGACCTGAACAAAGGTTATTGCCCATTATGAGATATATCCGATAATATTTTCACTTTTGTCGTGCTCCGTTAACTTCCGGTTCTACAGCCAATTGAAAATCGCGATTTTTAACTTAAAAAAAAGGTCTATCACGTGACCTAATTTACATAAGCGAAAATTTATCTTTTGTCCTTATTACACGCAATCTATTCTTTCAAATGATATGTAACACTTGGTATTTTGATTAAAATTGAATTTGAAAATTTTGTATTGACTTCTATAGTAAATTTTCACCATCGAAATTGTACAAAAAATTAAAGCACTATTTGGGACAATATCTGATAGAGTTACATTTTGTTTAGGCCTTTTACTTTAAGAAAGGGAATAGGATTTACAATTTATAAAATTTTGATATTTTGACCATTTACATGCATAATCTTGGTCTTTAGAAGGTCAAAGGTTATTGATCTACGATGTCCATTCATACTTTTATCTTTGATATCTGACATATATTTTCGCTTTTACAAACGTCCTAAAACAGCAATTTTCAACACTTTAAAGGCTTATATTCTCTTTTATTTGACCTCTGTTGACCTCTGGGCCGAAACACAAATTATTGTACCTTTCCAAAAATATTTTCATTTTTGTTGTGCGAATTGAACTTTTAACTTTACAGCTATTTGAAAATTCGACTTTTTACTACCGAATGTTAACACCTTTTAGTACCGAATGGTATCAAATTCATGCGTCTTTTCACTACCAAACGGTAAACGGTTTAAACGATTTTTTCTACTATTGAACGTTTACATGCTTTTCTTTCCGGTAAGAAATCCCATG